CCCAGGGGCTCTAATGGACAGCTGAGAAACACCCAGGGTCGCAAGACTGGGTGCATCCAAGGGAAAGGGGCTGGAAGGGCTGTGTCCTCAGGCCCTCGGCTCCTCTGCATCCTCCCAGGCACGGGCCTTTCCCTCCTCCCGGAACCTTCATCACCCTCGGAACCCAGGCATCCGGCCATTCCCACAGCCCCCTACACACACCCCTGTCCCAGATTTTAATAAGTTCTGCTCTCTCACTGTCAATATTTGATTTCTCAGAGCCATCTCCACGGAGAGGGGGCTAGAAGGGGCTCTTCCCTTTCTTCCCCCCTACCTTGGCCCTCCTTGGCCCACCCCCAACCTCCTCTGAACTTGCTGACTTAATGAAATGATATTAAAGTCTTAGGCAAGTCTAAAAGAATGGTTGTTATGGTAAAGGGAGTGGGCAGGACGCCTGGGTCCCTGAGGGGAGCAAGGGCTGAGGAGGGGGAGAATGAACCACAAGCCAAGGTCTGGGGGCCCCAGTCCCCAGAGGGAAGCAGATTTGGGGTGCTCTTGAGGGCCCAGACCTCTACACATTTGCAGAGAGCAGGGCATGAGGGCTGGGGGCCGGCAGGAGAAGGTGGGAAGGACAAGGGCACTCAGGGGTCAGTGTCTCAGTCTGCTGTCCAGCTCGTCCATCAGGGATGAAGAGGCCAGCCCCGGGGGACAAGGCTTCTGTGCCAGTAGCTTCCCTGCTGACAGTGGCCCAGGCCAGTCCCGTGAGAACCAGAGAGAGCCCTCTGCAGCCTGGCTCATCCCTCTGCCCCCCTTCTCCCCCAGCAGCCCCCCACAGGTGATTTGTAGCTGATACCCCCGCGATGGTAGGGGCCAGGACAGACAGTCCAGGACACCGAGAGCTTCCAGGAGAGTAGAGAACCGAGGCCAAGGGCTGGGAACCGCCCCCACCTCCCTCCACCCATCCCCATCACACTCCCCTGGGGACCCTGGCCCAGCCCCAGTCCCCTTGGGGTGGTGGGAATGCAAGGACATTTGGCCAGAGCTGATTGATGAGGGAGGAGGCAGTCCCTGGGCACTGAGGCTGCTGTTTGCTGAACACACAGATTCCTCCTCACTCACCAGCTGCCGCCCCCTGAGGCTGCTCAATCCACCCCCCCCCCCATCCCACTGGCCGTTGGCTTTGGGGGGAGCCAATGCCTGGGTCTCTGATGGCAACTGGGGGAAGAGAGAGCACCAGGAGACCAAATGCTTCCACTCCCTGTGGGAATTGGGGGTCCCTAGGGTCTGCTCCCCTCGGAACTCCCTTCAGGATGCCACCTTTCCTGAGTCCTTCCCGCCCTCTCTTTCACTGCCGCTTGTCATGCCCATTCACTCTGCGTCCTCTTCCCTACCCCTGCCCAATTCTCTGAGCCCTTGCCAGCCGATCTCCCGCCTCCAAGCCACCCTGCAACATTTCTCCCAGTCTGCCAGGGGAAGAGGGAGCCCTGTGTCCGTGAACGCCCGTGTAACCCCTTAGGAAGCTCCATTTTTCTTTTTAACTGAAATTCCAGATGTGATGTCAGCCATTCTTCATCAGATTTCCACTGCAGCCCCTTGCTCCATCCCCCTCCCCTAACGCCCCCTACACAAACCATACACACACACACACACACACACACACCCTCAGGCTGAATCTGTGTCCCTCAGCTGTGCTTTCTGGAAGGACAGGGCTAAGCCCCAGGACAGCCTTCATCCTACGCGGTTGGCAGGATGGGGGCACCTGCGGCGTCTCTGGTTCCCAACCCTCTTAGTTCTTTTATTTCTGCTCTGGACTCTGCCCAAAGCTGTCACACCCTCCAAGAGCTCAGCGCATCATCCCTGCTCTCCTAGAGCTCAAAACTTTGTTGAGGAAAACGCAGCTCCCAGATACATAAACAAGGGAAACGGGCAGACATCCAGCACAGCGGTTAAGACGCTGCTAGGGAAACCCACAACCCACATCAGAGTGTCTGGGTTCAAGTCCCGGCTCTGCTTCCTGTTCCAGCTTCCTGCTAATGTGCACCCTAGGAGGCAGCAGTGACAGCATACACTGGGTCCCTCCCACCCACATGGGAGACCCAGAGTGAGACCGGGGCTTCTGGCTTCAGTCTAGCTCAGCCCCAGCTTCTGCAGGTACTTGGGGTAGGAACCAGTAGATGGTTCCCTCTCTTCCCCTGGTTTCAAATAAAATAAAAATAAGTAAAAAAAAAATTTAAAAAGAGGGAATGGAAGACCCCATTACAACAACTCCCTAAATGTGGGTTCTAGACCCTAAGTGACTCAGTCCCCTACAAGGCTGAATCGAGGAAAGAACAGAACACATCTGGAATGAATGTGCTATTCTGAAACACTCCAAGATTTCACCTCTGCCTTCTTACCTGCTGTTCTTCCTGCCTGGGATGCCATCCCCCACCATGCACCGCTTATTCCTGTTATCCGGGTCCTGATTATTTCAGAGGCACCCTCCTGGTCTCCTCACTTCCCATCCTGCCCCTGTATTCTTTACCTAACCACCTGAATTTTTTTTGACATGCAGAGTGGACAGTGAGAGAGACAGAGAAAGGTCTTCATTTTCCATTGGTTCACCCTCCAATGGCCGCTGTGGCCGGCGGGCTGCGGCTGGTGCAATGCACTGATCCAAAGCCAGGAACCAGGTGCTTCCTCCTGGTCTCCCATGCGGGTACAGGGCCCAAGCACTTGGGCCATCCTCCATTGCACTCCTGGGCCACAGCAGAGAGCTGGACTAGAAGAGGAGCAACTGGGACAGAATCCAGCGCCCCGACTGGGACTGGAACCCGGTGTGCCAGCGCCGCAGGCGGAGGATTAGCCTATTGAGCCACGGTGCAAGCCTAACCACCTGAAATTGTATTGTGATTTTCCCCACCAAAATGTAGACTTGATGAAAGCGGCGATTTTGCCTTGTGCACCACAAACTCCCAGTGTCTTGAAACTGACATTCAACAGGATCCTGACAATGTATGAATGATGAACAAATGGGGGTCCTCTGCCCCTCTGTTTCTGTTGTAGCTGTTACCCTCCGAGTGTGTTTGTGTATTTTTTACACAGAAAGCAAACAGGACGGCGAGGCTCTGCCTGGCAGTCACCTAGCTCAGAACACACACAAGTGTCCTTGGACATGTGGAAGGCTGCAGATCTCAGGTTGCTCTGGTCAGGGTTGGTAGGGAGCCCGTGGAGCCTAGTACTCCGAAGGGGCGTGTCCCAGGGCACCGAGCAGTGTGTGCTGCTGCTCTCCCCAGCTGTGCATCCATCCCCAGGTGTCCTGTCTCTCGGCTTGTTCTGATGTCTTGGCTGCTGTGGTGAAGAGCTGTCAGAGTATTTATCTACACTTCTTTTCCCTCCTGTCTCTCCACCTGTGCCTCTGCATGTGCAGGGGGAGTTGTCTCCCTCCACTCCCTTGCCCCCTCACACACACAGCCCTGCCCCAGTCTTGGACCCCTCCCTTTCTCAGTGGGCCCTGTTGCTGGGCTCTGGTTGCCATAGTGACGGTTGCCAAGTCCCTGAGGCTGATAGCCAGCGATGGGGCTGTCGGCTCCATCCACGCGGGAGGCTGAGGGGGGCTTCCCATTGTGTGGAGAAGGGGATGTTGCCAAGACAACCAACCCCCACTAAGGGGCAGGGACCAGCCCTCCCACCCCCCTCGGGCAGCTCCAGTGTGGGCTCAGAGGCAGCAGTGAATTCCAGGCAGCCCAGCACCTGGCCTGCCTGCTTTCAACTCCCCTCCAGCAGTGCCTGCACCTCTCAGGACCCAGGCATCCTGCTCAGACAGGAGGAGGAGCAGGGGGTACCCCTGGACAGAGGAGGGGAAGGGGGACCCCTTGACCTCCAGGCAGATGGGAGACAGCAGGAGGGGACCTAAAGTCAGGGGAGGGACAGGGAGGGCAGAGGTTGTGACCCCTGCTGACTCGCTCCAGTGATGCTCCTGACGGCTGCTTTTGTGGCCGGAGAAGGGGGCTGAGCCTAGGGGGCTGGGCACCTGGGTGTTTTAGGGCAGAAGAGCCTGAGTTCTGGGTAGACAGGGAGCCCGGACACAGGCCCCACCCCTTCTCCCCCTGTCAGTCTCCCAAAGCAAAACTCCCCAAGTCAGAAGCACCCTAGTTAGGCATGGCGGGGAAAAGATGCTAGGCTGTGACCATGCATGTCTGGCCACTGTGTTCCCTGCGGTGACTTGCCTGTGTTAGCAACAGCAACACACTCCCCGCGTGTGCATGGATACCCTCGGACCTCCCCCTCTGAGTGAGTGGCAGCACGCGCACACACACACACACACACACACCAGCCTGGCTCCCTCTTGCTCCCCTGCAGGCGGCCGCTTTCTCAGCCTTCTTCCCCAGCCCATGACTCCCTCCCCACGTACCTACCACCCACCTCCCCTCTCCAAGCCAACCCTCTCTCTACCCATTCCCCTCAGTGGCGGCACGTGAGATCCAGCCCTCGGCTTGGGAGTCACTCGAACCCGCAGTTTCACGTCCAGTCATTTTCCAGCCTTCTTGTCAACTTTTGAAGTTTTTTATTTTATTTTTTTTTGTTTTTGTTGTTCAAATTTCCCTTTTACAATAAAACTATCGAGGCGACGGCCATACCCCGCCACCTCCCCCATGGCAGTATCAACTTCCTGTTCTCTGGAAGGAGCAATCAGAAAAATCAGGAAGGAGCTGGCACTACGGCACCAAAGAGATGACGTGGCCACTGGTGGACAAAGCAACCATCTTGGCTGGTGATTGAGGTGGCCAACTTGGTGCCCACGGGCAGTTTTGATCTAACAAAACCGAGCTGGGAAGAAACTGAGGCAACACACCCAGTGGTGCACTAGAGGGCAGGAAGAGGTATCCGCTGGTCACTATGGAAACAGCGGCTGTTGCTAAGAACCACTGTCAGCCAGACCAGTCAGTAGGCCACCATTCCGGTCACTAACAAGGAAGCTGTGTTGAGTTCGGAGGGAGTAGAAATGGAGAACGGGATGAACGAGACAGCCATCTGGGTCATTGAGGAGAACACACAGGTTCTTGGGGTAGCCTGTTGATTCACACAGATTATACTGGGAGACGGAAAGGGAAAAACAAGACGCATCGGGCCTGCCACTGCAGACGGCAGTCATCTCAGCTGTCCCAGAATCCACACAGAGTCCAGGGAAGGGAGGTCCTGGGAAGTACCACTGAACACTAGGAGAGTCCTCCTCAGTCCACCCCCTTCCTCTGACAGCAAGCTCCAGCTTCCTCCTGAGACAGGAAGTTCTCCTGCCCTCTTCCCCACAGGGTAAGAACCATCCACCTCCCACCCACCCCCAACCCCACACTAAGCCACTTGGAGTTCCAGCCAGACCACTTCCTATTTCAGAAGTGCTACTTCCTGTCCTGGACGAAGGCACTTCCAGTTCCCGCTGCACTGCTTCTGCCACTTCCCAGGCCATTTCTGTGCAGGCCTGGCCACTTCTTGTCTGGAGCAGGTCACTTCCTGTCCCAAGTAGCCCATTCAGCATCAGACCGAGTCCACACATGTCCCAGACAGCTCTTATCTCGCCATTGGCCACTGGACAAAACAGGACACTTCTTCTCATAGTAGCTGTCATGACCCAACCACCCCAAATGGCTGGAGAAAGTACGTAGAGGCCTGGGCCAGGGCAGAGAAGGAGGCCCTGCTGCCCGTGCCCTGAGCTGGGGTGGAGTGCCAAAGCCTTCCCCAGAAGCCCCCATTTACAGCGGGCTGAGGAGTGGTTGGTATGCGAGGTCAGAGGAGGGCCGAGAGCTAAGGGGAGAGATGTTGTGATGCCCCCACCCAGGAGACGGGAGAGGATAAGAAGCCAAGAGGGCAAGAGGAGGTGTAGGGAGGAGATGCTAGGGAGAGGAACAGACCTAAAGACAGAAGAGAGAGAAAGAATAAGACACAGAGAGAAGAGAAACAACAGTGAGAGGCAGAAGGAGAGAGGTGCCAACCAAAAGACAGACTGTTCCCCCACTTTAGCTTGGGGTGGGGGGCAAGGACACCAGGGTCACAGTCACAGAGGAGGCTGAGCCTGTGCCTCCTCCCAGGGGACATGGAGACAGAGGGGGCGCCCATGGCTAATCGGGAGGGCAGGAAGGGTGCCGTGGAAATCTCTGGAATCCTACACGTGGAGAAAAGGGCAACAGCCAGAAAAAGGAGAGGAGCCGGCGGGGCAGAGGGGCCGAGGGGATGCTGGCGGTGTCCCTGAAACCTTTAAGTCAACTCAGGAGCACTCGACAAGGGGCCAGATTCAGGAGAGCTAGGCGGGAGGCGCCCTCATACCTTGTAGTAGATGTTCGGGGGGCTCTGCGGGGGCCCATCCTGCACGATATACACAGGATGCCCATAGTCGCCACTCACCTTCTCATAGTGGGGACAGAAGGGGGGATCTGCAGCCCCACCACCCCGCAGAGCTATCCCTAGCTCCCCAGGCTCAGCCTCCCGGGGTCCCAGCCCGCCTCCGCCCCCCAAGCCCAGAGACCCTCCCCTCCCGAAGGAGCCGGGCCCAGGGTGGCGACTCTCCGAAGGCTTGGCCCGCCGTCTCCGCCAGCACATGGCACCCCCAGCCCCTGCCACGCCCAGCAAGAGCAGCGCCAGCCCCCCTGCTGCCCCGGCCACAGCGGGCATGCTGGGAGGGGGCAGGGGGCCTTCAGCACCCCGGGAGGTTGCATTGCTGGTGGGGTCACCTGGCAGGGAAGGGGTGAAGGAGGAAAGAGGGGGAGGGGCTGAAGGAGCCACCTGGGCATCTGGAACACCCAGCCCTGGGGGTCCCCGTGGGCTTCCCCAGCAATGCCCTGGCCCTGAGGGAGACCCCCGCCTCCCCTCCCCTAGAAGCCGGCTCAGAATCCAGGTGTCCAGCCCTTCAGCTCCCTGCCACGCCGTCCTCCCCACTTCTCTGACAGCACTGATTGAAGCGCTGACTTGGCTAATTAGTTCTAATTGAGTCTTTTCCTCATTTGGCTTCCATTCCCTTCCCACCCTCCCATCCTCTCCTCTCCTCTTTCCTGTATCACCGCCCCCAAAACTGAAGAGGGAGGGAGAGGTTGAAGGCCGGGCAGCTGGGGTCTGAGCGCAGAGGGAGGTGGGGAAGGCAGAGAGCTGCCGACCCCCAGGGCTCCTACCTGGCACTGCGTTCTCCTTCCCGGGCTCCAGGCTGTGGGCTGCCCCTCGGTCTCTCTCCATGGGCATTTCAGACACAGGCTTTCGGGGTGCAGCTCCTCCTCGGGGACCTGGAGACAAGAAAGATCGGAGAGAGACATGGGCTGAGACAACTGAGTCCTGACCATGATGGCACGGCCCAAACTCTTCCACTCCCAGAGGTGCCCCCGCCCCACTCACTTTGTCCCACTCGGAGAAGCACCTTCATGCCTCTGGTTAGGCACACGCCCCCCTGCAAGCTCTCCAGGCCTTCTCGGGTCCCATCCGACGTGGCTGGGAGAGAACACAGAGGGCAAGATTGGCACGCAGGGCCTAGCCCCAGTTCTGCCCCTGGTCTCCCCCTACCCTGACCCACCCTCAAGTTGGGGAGCAGCTCCCCACTTGCCCCTGCCCCCTGCCCGGCGGTACCAATTATGTAGTAATCGTGGTGGGAGCGGAACTCGTGGCCCCAGAGGTTAGGGCTGTACTCCTGGAACTTGATGGTGAAACGGAGATCCAGGTCAGGTCGATCGCAAGTGAGAAGGAGGTTTGGGGCAGGGGGTGCCTCGCAGCGCCGGCCCTGGGCACCCCCGACCAGGTACAGCTTGTAGAACTCATAATTAGGAGAGGAGTGAGGGCCAGGAGGCCGGGCCCGGGGGCAGAGCAGGTCTAGTCGGTCCCCGATCTGGGGGTAGAGCACGTAGCCACCCTCCGCCTGGAACCTACGGAGAAGAGGGCGAGGTGGGCAAGGAGGAGGAGACGGCAGGGGTCTGGCCCCCAGGACAGCAGTTCTCTGCCCCTGCCCGCCTTTGTCTGGGTGGAAAAGTGTGTTCTTACAGAGCAGGCACCAAGGACTCTGCGAGCTCACATTAGAAACAGCAGGAAGCCAGGCTCAGAGGTCTCCTGCCCCTTGGTGTGCCCAAATGCACTCTTCAGCCCGCCCTCACCACATGCACACTGCCATCTCCCGCTCCATCACCAGCGCCGTTGCCATGGCAACAGGATGCCAGTTACCAAGGAGCTGGCCTCTCTGGAACCACACAGCCCACCCCTCCCAGGTGATTTCACTATTCCATGGCAGTCGACCATGGGGCAGAGCCTCCCCTCATCCAGGCCAGCAGCGAAATTTTAGGGATTTCAGGGCAAAAGGGGCGGGGCTGGAAAGGGGGCGTGGAGGGTGCTGTACACATGTGTCCCAAGTTAGCCAAGGAGTGTGACAGGCAGCAAATGCCTGGTTTAGCAATGGCCCTAAGTAGGACTAATGAAAATCAGGGTGGGGGGCCAGCTGCCTGGATCATTGCCCTGCTCTGCCCCCTCCCTCCCCAACCCTAGACGTCCTGGGGGAAGTGCTCCATTGCTTTGGAATTGAAGAAATTGGCTTTTCCAACCATAACTGACAAAGCCGCACACCCCCTGGGTCACCACGCCAGGCACCCACTGGCCCAGCAGGGTCACAAGTTGCCAACCACTGCAGCCTCTCCTTATGCATTCCCAGCTGAGACAGGTGCCAGCATGGCTCCCATGAGTCTGTGTTTGGCATTTTTCCAGACTGCCAAATGACCCACTCCCTCCCACCCAGGACACCCTAAACTCCCTTTTATCCAACCTGTCAGAATAAGCCTAATTTATGTGCTCAAGCCACACCTGAGACTCAAACTGTGGCTGGGAGTTGGCGGGTGGGAGATTGAGCATAGAAAAGGCAGTGAGATTATATTCAAAGAGATAGGGGAGGAAGGGAGGAATGCTGGACGGGGCAGAGTGAGAGGCTGGAAAGTAAGAGGAGAGCAGCAATCCTAACTCTCCTGTAATGAGTGTATACTCTGGGCCTACGCCTTACCTTGAATCCTCCCAACAGCTGCAGGGACTGAGGATGCAAACTCAGAAAGGTTAGGTGACATGCTCAAGGCCACACAGCCCAGAACAGCAGAAGCAAGGTCGAGACCAAGCAGCTGAAGAGCTCCCAAACCCATCTCCTTCCCCTGGCCTCACACATGCTCCCCAGGGAAACAGGAAGTTTTTCCAGACACAGAACTCTTTTGCTAAGGGGAATAGGAACTGCACGGAGGCAAGGGACCCACCCAGATGACCTCCCAAAGGTCCTGTTCGCGCCCACCCCCAACCCACTGTGTGGCTTGAAGTTTCATCTGACCCTTGGCCTCTTTTCAGAGCAAAGCAAGCATGCCACGGAACAGAGGGTCTGATGGAAGAGTTTGTAGCAGAGCTAGCTGGGGGAGGGGGCGGTGGAGTGCTCAGAACTCCAGATGCAGAGGGGAAAAGGAGGAGGTTTCAGGGGTCTCCCAGCTCCTGCCAGAAAGCAGTCCCCAAGCCAGGAAGGCAAAAACCATGCAGCCAAGGGTTCATGGCCCCCCTGGCTGTGGGCAAGAGTTGGGAGACAGGCTGTGAAGAACTTCAGGAGCCTTGGGGACGTGGTCCCCAGAGTCCCCCGGCTGAGCCCCCTTCCCTCCCGCCTGCAACACCCAGTCCCCGCTGGGGAGGGAGCAGCCTGCCTTCCCCTCGGCAGCACCTACTCAGCGGCTCTCTCCTGAGAGCTGACATTAACCAGGCTCCCTCCAAGCCCAGCCCCCCGCCTGACACAGGTCTCCCACAGATCCAAATAACCACGCCGCTGCCTCCCGCTACCCATAAACTTTCCCATCCTTGCCCCCTTGGGGTGTCCAAACTCCTAGCACATGGGTATCACCACCCACCTCCAGCTCTGTATGGGACCCAGGAGTCTGTCCACAAAGATCACCTCTCCAGCCACCCATCACCTCCCATCAAGCCCCCAGCTCCTTCCCTCCAGCCTCCTCTAGGCTCAGAGAACCCCGCCCCCAAGCCCCCCAAGCCCCCCAAGCCTCCATACCCCCTGGCCCGTCACAGAGCCTGGGGTCTCCCCAGCCCCAGACCACTCACCTCTTATTCGCCGAGTTCCAGTAGACAGGCTCCAGGCTGAGCCCAGACACCAGCCCCAAACACCCCAGCAGCAGCAGGGCCCCGAATCTCACGCCCCCCGGCCCAGAATGGGGGGCCCCCATGACCCCGCCAAGGCCTGGGGGGCGGGGCACCAACTCCCCTAAAGTCGCTCACCCCGGGGGCGACTGCCTGGGCTGCCTGGCTATTCAGCCCCGGCCACCCTGGTGGCCGATGCCCCCCCACCGCTCCCACGCGGACCCGCTTTCTGCTCTGCCCGCACCCCCTCTGCGGAGCGCTCAGCCCCACAGGAGCCCTTCCAGGGGCGTCTGCAGGCGCCCGACGCGCCCCCGGCCCACGCGCCAGCACCCCGGGATCTGTGCGCTGGCCTAAGTGGGGGACTGGGGCAGCCGGGGGCCGGGCGGAGGCGGCATGGGGTGCGGGAAGACGGAGCGAGGAAGGGGGCGCCGCGCCGGAGCCCCAGCCTCGCCGGGATTGAGGGCAGCGGGCTAAGGGAGGAAACCAGTCCCGAGCCCAGGAGGGGGGAGTTAAAGGAGAGGCGGGGAGGGGGAGAGGATGGTGGAGGGAAAAACTGGAGCTGGAGCTCGAGCCGGAGCGGGCGGCAGCATCCCGGGCCCACGCCCCCCACACCTCCCTCACCTCGCGCACCTCCCGCCCGCCGCGGCCGCCGCCCCGCCTCACGCCCTGGCGCGGTCTCTCACGCCCCCTTTGTCTCTGCGAGTCTGCGTCTCTGGCCCAGCGTCTGCCCGTCTCCCTGCTGCCCTCGGATCGCCCGGGGGTTGGAATCTTCCTCTCTCGAATCCGGAAAGGCTCTCGCCCTCTCCACCCCTGCGGAACCCACCCCTTCTCTCCCGCGAGCCTCCTCCTCCTCGTCCATCCCAAAACAACACCGCTGCTCCCGGGAGGTCTTTAGAGAATAATAATAACCTTGAAGGCTTGGCACTTGACAAAGTGCGGCTGAGTTGGTCTGTCGTTGGATCACCTGTGTGACTGAGTGAGGCGGGAGGGGCAGCGCCAGGGATCCCATGCCAAGGATGGAGAAACCGAGGCTCACGGGAGCCCCCTTGACTTGCCCAAGGTCACACGGGGAGAGTGGGATGCAGGCGCCGGAAACCGACGCCGGCCTCCCGGGCTCTTTACTGTTCTCTGAGGGCTGGGTGAAAGGCACGCGATGTAGGGGTGAACTTGGGCCCTTCTCAGGCGGTTGTGGGGAGAAGTGAGGCTGGGGGAGGGAAGGCAGTACCTACAGCCCGGCGGCAGGGCTGTTTCCAATTATCCTGGGGGAAGGGAGGCGTTGCCTTTGTGGGTGTAAGAACCCTGGCTTTCAGCACCTCTGGGCAGGGCGACATTCCTCTCAAGCCCCCACAGGTCCCAAATCACCTCTCGGCCGCCAGTCTCTTCGAAGCGCCCCCTTCTCTGTGTGGCAAGGTGTGTGGGGGGGGGCAGAGGGAGGAGTCACTGCTTCCAACAACACCCCCCCCCAAAAGACGGAGCCCAGGGAGACACCAGGAGACCGGCGCCAGCAGCCCCATGACTAAGCCCCTCTGCCCTTGTCTTGCATCTAACGCGAATGCTGAACATGACGTCTGTATTTTTCAGCACCTTTACTCTCATGTGTGTCCTTGACTCTGGCTACCGGGTTGCCTGTCTCCTGGGGGAGTCCAAGGAGGGGAGGCGAGTGCTCCAGCTCCCCTTCCCCCAGAGCTGAGTAATGGTCCCTCTGCTGCTGGGTGCTGGTAAATAGTGTGAGTGCGAGCAGTGGGGTGCGAGCAAGCCGGCATCACCATCAGCGTCTGGTCTGTCACCCGTCTGCAGTCTCACACAGTCACACCCAACAGTCTGACACAGAGCTTCCGCCACTCCTGCTCAGCCCTGCTCACCCTGACCCCTGCAGCCCCCACCTTGGGAGTGAGATTTCAAACAGGTTTCCCCCTTCAGTTTACCAAGTTGCCTAGCAACCAACCAGTCAATGGCATGAAGTCCCACCCCCACCCACTTGACTTCACACCAAGCTCAGCCACCCCATTGGCTCCTGCCTAGTCCCACCTCTCAACCCTTTTCGGGAACAATATGCCAGTCCCACCGCTGCAGGACTAGGGAGCCCACCAGTCCCCAGACCTGGACCCCACTGCTGTCACCTGCCTCCCCAGACAGACACAGACTCTAGTATCATATAAAACCTTTTTATATAGGCTCATCCCGCCCTCCCTCTGTCCCTTCTTGTCCCTTCTCGCCCTGGTCCTCAGGGCTACTGGGCTCTGGGGCCCCTCCACACCACCAGAGCTGAAGCTGACATTCAAGGTGGACGTTGCGCAGGGACAGCAAAGGAAGCTCCAGCTCCTGTTCCCCTTCATCCTCACTCTCTGTGGGCTCCGGGAACACACGCTGACCTGAGGCAGTGGCCAGGAGAGGCAGGCTAGGGTGCAGGCTGGAGGGAGCGACAGGCAGGATCTGTCAGTACCTGGGTGATGCTTGCTCCCGCAGGGCTCCGCCTCCCCACCCCACCCCTCCCGGGCCCATGTCCCAAGATCTGTGCCATTGAACTGAGGACCTCACGCCGTTGGTGCAGTCCTTCTGGGGCAGAAAGCTCAGCAGTGGCTCCGGTTTTCCAGCATCCTCAGCCCCGCTGGTGTCCCACACGGAGACAGCCCCGCTGGTGCTGCCACTCACCAGGAACTGTCCGGTCCTAGGAGAGAGGTGACTTGCTAGCATAGCGAGTCACCTCTCTCCCCTACATCACCCCTACAGCAAGAAACTCTCACTCCTGGGACCCTCCAGCTGGCTCTGGCATCCCTGCAGGGGACCAGGGCCCCCGGCAGGAAGGAGTGCCCTCCACTCACGGGTCCAAATCGAAGTAGATGCGCTGATTGGTGGTCACTTCGCGACGTAGGGACCACAGTGGCTGACCAGGCTGCCGGAGATCCCAGCACAGAAGCTCAGCATCCTGAAGACACAGCACAGGGGCCTGCTGACCCGGACACCCCCAACTCCCAGACAGCTCTGCCGCCCTCCAGGTTGACAGGCACTCTGTTATCCCACTCCTGCCCTGCTGCCCACGGGTTCTCGGGGCTGACCCCTACCTTGCGGGCCCCTGAGAAGAAGCGGTTGCCATCAGGGTGAAAGCAGATGTGGGTGACGCCCCCTTGGTGGCCACCCAGCAAGGCGAGAGGGGAGCCGTCTTCCCAGGCATACAGACCCAGGGAGCGGCTATAGGAGCCACAGGCGTAGAGGGGCTGGGTTGGGCTGAAGGCTATGCAGGAGATGATGCCACTCTGGCCCTGCTTTTTTGCTGGAAAGGGAAGACAAGAATGAAGCTGGGGGAAGGCAGTGGTTCCTGGCATTCACCAGGCTCAGCAGAGGCACACTTGCCCCCTGCTGCAGCACCAGTGTGTGGGGATGCCCCTAGTCCTGCTTGTCAAAGGCCTCTAATGCTCCCCACATCCCTCCATCCCCCCAAAAAGACCTTAATTCCCATCAGCCCCCCTTCCCGCTCCAATCCCAGTTTTTCCAGGAAAGGACAGAAGGTTCAAAGAAAATGGACCCAGCTTCATCTCAAATTTTCGAGAGACAAAGATTTTAGAAACCAAAAGGCACACAGCCGATGAGGCCCACGATGAGGAGTGCGCCAGTTCTCTGACCAGCTGGGCGCCCCTGGGCAGTGTTCCCTGGGCCTGAGTGTTTTCTCCTCTGCCAACTGTGCACAACCTGTTGTTGAGGACCCAAAGAAGGCCCTCAGGTGGGCCTGGACTCACACGGTGCCCTCTCCTTTCCTCCCCCCTTGCAGGCACAAATGCTTACCAAATGTGGCTCGGACCTCGCAGTCCCGGCCGGGCCGGGCCGTGGAGAAGACACGCACGGTCCGGTTGAAGCCGCAGAAGAGCTGGGCACCATCCGGGGAGAAGCAGAGCGAATGGGCAGCGGTCAGCTCATCCTGGGGACAGGGAAGTGCTGAAGACAGACCTCGCGAAGGCTCAGCCCTCCTCAGGGGAGAGCTGGGCCAGGAAGAGCGCTGGGGCTGGGCAGGGAGGTCCCTACCAGGTGGTTGTAGGCCCGAAAGGAAGCCCGGAGCTCGCCAGTGAACGCGTCCCAGATGTGAATCGGGTTCTCCCGGCTGCTGCTGGCCACGCTGAGAGAGACACGGACACTGAAGCCCCAGTGCTGTCAAAGGAAGTGGAGGAAGCCAACTGACCAGCTCCCATTTGAAGGGCACACGGAGCCCTCCTCCCACCAGGCCCCTGGCAGCCCTTGACCCACTCATAAAGGGCCCCACTGGAACTGAGGGTGGGGCGAGTAGGAGGGCAAAGGGCATCACTTACTAGGAGGTGTCTGGCTGGGCTGAAGACATCAGAGAATACCAGCAGTAATCGTAGATGGTGTCACCTTCCACCATTCGAAGGACAGGGGTCTAGACAGAGAGGAGGGAATGCCTGGGTCACTGGGGGGCCGAGGGGAGTATGGGACTCAGAGTCAGACTTGTGCCCCTGGCAGAGAGGAAGACCATCTGCGGCCTGAGCTGTAGTGTAGTGGGTAAAGCCCCAGCCTGCAGTGCCAGCATCCCATATGGGTGCCAGTTCGAGTCCCACTTCTGATCCAGCTCTCTGCTATGGCCTGGGAAGCAGTGGAGGATGGCCCAAGTGCTTGTGCCCCTGCATCCACGTGGGAGATCCAGAAGCTCCTGGCTCCTGGCTTCAGACTGGCCCAGCTCCAGCTTTTGCAGCCATTTAGGGAGCGAACCAGTGGATGGAAGACCTCTCTCTCTACCTCTCTATACCTTTCAAATAAATCAGTAAGTCTTAAAAAAGAAAAAGAAAAGAAAGGCCATCTGTGAGCCCCTAACCAGGCAGAAGGCGATGGGGTACAGAGGGTAACAGCATTGTGGTGCAGTGGGCTAAGGCACTGCTAGCAACACCTGCATCACCTAGGAGCACCAGTTCAAGTTCTGGCTGCTCTGCTTATGATCGAGTTCCCCTGCAAAAGAGTGGGAAATGACCCAAGTGCTTGGATCCCTGCACCCATGTGGGAGGCCTGGATGGTGTTCCAGGCTCCTGGCTTTGGCCTGGCCCAGCCCTGGGTGTTATGAGCATCTGCGGAGCTAACCAGAAGATCTCTTTCTCTCCCTCAATCTCTGTCACTCTGCCTTCGGGGGAAAAAAAAAAAAAAATTGGGCTGATACTGTGGCATAGAGATTAAGGCTGCAGCCTGCAGTGCGGCATCCCATATGGGCACTGGTTTGAGTCCTGACTGCTCCACTTCCCATCCAGCTCTCTGCTATGACCCAAGTCCTTGGACCTCTGCACCTGCATGGGAGACCTGGAAGAAGCTCCAGGTTCCTGGCTTTGGACTGGCTCAGCTCCAGCCATTGCGGCCATCTGGGGAGTGAACTAGGGAATGGAAGACCTCTCTCTTCCTGCCTCTGCCTCTCTGTAACTTTGCCTTTCAAATAAATAAATAAATCTGGGACCAGCAAGGTGACATAGTAGGCTAAGTCTCCACCTGTGGTACCAGCATCCCATATGGGCACTGATTCATGTCCTAGCTGCTCCACTTCCGATCCAGCTCTCTGCTAGTGGCCTGGGAAAGCAATGAAAGATGGCCCAAGTCTTTGGACCCCTGCACTTGCGTGGGAGACCCAGAAGCTCCTAGCTCTTGGCATTGGATCAGCCCAGCTCTGGCCATTGTGGCCATTTGGGGAATGAACCAGCGGATGGAAGATTCTCTCTTTTCTCTCTTTCAAATAAATAAATCTTTCACACACACACACACACACA